ATTTAATCAGTAGCTGTGATTGCGCTTTGCATGCGAGGGTATCATAGCTAATTTTTATAATTGTGCTATGCTACCTACAACACTAAAACTCAACATTGTAATAAGGTTAGAATTAAATCTGGTGTCCTTAATTCACTTCCAATCTTTATATGGTCCAATTTTTCCTTAGCTATTGGTGATAAACGTTCTCCAGAAGACGCAACCAACCCACAGTCTTGGTTCCGTTTCAACCTTCATTTGGGGATTTGTAATGCGAGTAAAATTGCAATGCGATTAAAAATCGTAACGCAATACTTTCGTATAATAAATCATACAGACACCACGTCATGATATTGCTGTCTAAAATAGCTACTAGCTTTCATTCGGGGAGGTGAAAGATTTTTAATGTTTTTATCGAGCAATGCGCTGGGTCATAAGAGGATTTTGGTCTGGAAATCTAAGCACCTAATGTATGTCGTTTCCTGAGAAGTCACGCCTCAGCACTGCATCACCTTACTAGATCAGTCGACGCTAAGATGAAATCACGTAAAGCTATGGGACCATTGGTCGCGCGATGTGGGTCAGCTGTTTCATGCAGTCCAGCAGGCCGACGCTGCGCAAGGTACATAGTCATGTATGGAATCGCGCTAATGATGCGGGAAGGTGATGACGTGCTGCAGAGCATGATCAACTTTCGTCTCGAGATAAATAGTAATTGTTTGGAGAAGTAGCTACGGTTAAAACGTGTAACAACCCGAACAACGATTTCATGTTCCGACATCTATTGAGCTGAATATCAAGCACTCACGCGTCATCAGCTGAAGAGGTCATCATAGGTCATGCTTTAGTATTGACATGCATAAGGGTCAAATGGAAGGTGCTTCGTTTGAGTATGAGCCGCTATCGTTGCACAATCAGGGTGAAGCCTAAGACACGCTACCTCCGCAGTATCATTCGCAGCTTAAGCGACTAGTAACTTACTGATTGTTCTCACGAAATCGTCTTCAAGTTGTATTTCCGTGGTCATGTTCACGGCGCCCGATTCCCGCAACTTTGCAGTTTCTCAAAGAGAATTACAAACAACAGCTTCAATTTCATTGCTACTTTACGAGCAAATTATAGTCAGCATTTACTTGTGACAAATTACCGATCATTATGCGGGAAAGTATCTCCCATTTCTTATCAAAATCTTTTCGGGTCTAATTAAAAGTAGGAAATTAGCACCTTACACATATGGCACTCAAAGCTAGAAAGAGAGATAATTTTTGACGGATTTTTCCCGCTCACATTTAGAATTCGCTCTTGAAGAGTAAACGCTGCGCTCGGGGTCCAACTCCACTCTCTGTACTTTATTGTAGCTGCTGATAAAAGTATATCGTCTCGAGGGTTCCCTCTCATGCGCCTAGCTAAAAAACTCAGCTAGCCCCCGGATCACCAAGACCAACGCTCGTCAAGGAGTGTTCGAGAGAAAGTTGCAGTGATTTTAATTTAATTTAAACATCTTCGCCCTCACCTGACGATATTTGATCAAGCTGTCCACCGCGGAGGAAGCACAAACGGTTTGGCCTTCCGAACGGGGGAAGAGTTGCGACATTCTGTTGTATTAACTACGATGATGTTCAAATCGTCAAAAAGATGCTAGGCTTGGTTCAAAATCTCAGCATTCGAATCGAATGCTAGTGCAAGAACCAGTCAGCTTCATCGCTTTCTATGCTTTCAGCTACATCGTGCGGAAGCGAGGACCTGCAATTCTACATCTTCGGGTCTTCCTTTCATTGGAAAGTCATCCATGGGTGGTTGCTCATCCCAGAGGTCATCACTCTTTAGGGCACGCCTGCGCATAAATAAGAAGCGGTGGGAAAACCTACATTCTCCAGATGGGATGTAATTGGAGTACTGGAAGCTGGCGAGAAATTCCACTCAATTTTTTAATCAGGTGAAAAATGTGCCGTCATACCGTTTCAAGAAAAGCCAGTTTCAGTAAAGTGGACATCCGACCAAGATCCATGACTTGCAAAATTTACAAAGCACAATACGGACTATGAGATAGAATTTTAACAACCCCGTTTCATACTGTTTACGGCTTCGCTTACCTGCATTAGACAGATTTTGGAGCAATTTTTTTCAGGCGCTTGGTGTGTGATTAAACTTGCAGATAGCCTTTTCAATTGACATAAGTATCTCTGAGCATTATTAACACCCAGCAGAGCATCCATATCAACGTTTGTATTTTAGCACACTGTTGAGTAAAGCGCCAGTTACCTCAGCTTATTCCGTTTGGTAGCCGTATATAGCACAGCTGACCAGGTGTCAAACTCATCGAACAGTTGATTCCCACTCATACATTAAGTTCGCTGAAACAGACAACCTCGCGCAGTTTTGTACCGGTGACTGTCTAACGTTGGATCGACGTTTTTCCTAACAAAGAACCTTGGTGAGGTTTATAGTACTTGGAGGTAGCGGATTCCGATCCGCTACATTCGTACTGATTCTTGGAAAGAACGTGATGCCGGTGACCTTAGCTTAGCTTTCTCTAAGCAATTAGCTACGGCAGCCCCGCCGCACTTGATAGCACTCGTAGTAAATCTACGTATGAGTCGTTATCGATGCTCTGTGAGAATGGAAGAATACTCCAATTTGCCCTAGGTCATGCAGGACGGGCTTAATAAGCTGATGACTTTGCTGGGCCCTGAGGACGTGGAGCACCTTGTTGCGAAAGGGCCCGTGGCCATAAGCGCGTGCCTACAGGCGTTCTCAAGCTATAAAATGCTGTGTTAGAGCACTTAAAGCAGAAGCTGTCAGTGTCGACTGCGTCAATGACGCCGCCCATCTTCACCATACTTTTTTGACGTCTTGTAAGCAATCATCAGCTCTTGACTACAGCTACATTTTGTACCTGAACATGCTTCAACAAGATTTTTTGTGCAATGGGGTGCTGTATTTACGTGGTTTCGTGTCGGCATTTCCGATAAATTGCACGTTCTGATGTACATCCACTATAGCAGCTTTGATGAGTTGAATCGCGAAAGGTTTACGATCGACTTTCAAAATCATAATTAACTGTTGTGTAATCCTGGGAAGGTAAACCATCTTGCGGTGTAAATCTTCACTTTGGTGGCTTATTGAGACTTCTGTTCAAGCATAACGCACTGAGCACTTGACGTTCGATGCGGACCTCTGCTGTGACGGGTCACACGGCACCTTGCACAGAGGAAGCTTGACTTCCAAAAGTATACAAA